TTGAGATCTTTATAAAGTTGTGTTGCTTTGGGGGTAAATGTATGAAAAAAGTTTTTTGTTATAATTTTTTTATTAGAAATATGTTAGTATGCTGTATTAATAATATAGATTTGTATCTTATGCTATATTTTTTCAAAAGATTCTGTTGTATTAGTATTGGTGAAAACTTGATGTATATCTATATTTAAATTGATTTGATTTGTAAAGGATTCTTAGTTTTCTTTGGATATTGATTTATAGTTAAATACTCTTCTTTTATATTTAAATTTTTGGTTGGTTCTAAAAAATGCAAATGAGAATAACCAGGTTGAAATTAGAATTTGATGATTACTGTTTATAGAAGATGATGAATTGTTTATTTTAAATTTGTGCAGATATGATATTAGTATATCACTAGCCTATATATAATCAATTCTAGTTTGATATCGAGTTTTTGCCAAGTATACTGTAAGTTATTTGTGCAGTTAGCTAAGTCATATATATTAGTACTATGCAGGTAGTTGAGTAATTAAAATTTTGTAACTAATAATACAGTTGCATTAGTATTTGCATTAAAGTTACCAAGGATTATTGAATGTAAATTTAGTGTTATAGCTTGTTGTATCTATATTATTACTTTATTTTGTATTAGTTAAGAAAAGATAAACAGAAATAATTTTAAATTTGTAATCATTCTTGAAAAATAGATCTATTGTAATTGCATCTTCTAGGTGGTTAAGAATATTGTGGATGTGAGATTGAAGTTGTTTTTAAATTATAATATATATGCTTTCTTTGGTGTCTAGTAAATTTGACCAGTAGTAGAAGTAGTGATCTGTATTAAAGAATTTTGTACTGTATTTGTGTTATTAGAAATTTTTGTTTCGGTAAGACTAACTATATGTAAATTGTGGGTTAGGTAGTAGATTTCTCATAAAAATCATTTTTCTAGCATATTGTATCCTTGTACATTGTGGATAGCAATATTTAGATGTAGAAAGGAGTTAGAGTCCTTTAGGTTCTTTGTAAGTATAGTTTGGTTATTATAGTAATAATGGGTAGTATTCTAAGTAAATAAATAAGTTGATTCTGTTTCATTGTTTAAAAATAAATTATTTTTAATATTTGATACATTAAACAGATGAGTTAAAGAAGCAGAATATGTGGTAGTATATGATTTAAGTAGGGTTTGTAAAAATTTCTTAATTGTCTTTATAATTAATTGAATATAGTTTTGAAGTATGCTTGATTCATTATATAGATATATATTATATATGCTTCGTGATATGAATTATGTATAGAAAATATTAGGTCAGATTTAAAGTTTGTTGATATATTTTGTTACAGGTGTTGGATAAATGATATGATTGTAATTTCAGTTGTTATTATAGTAGTTTATAAAATTATAAGAATTTATTGTAATATGTAGACAAGTTGCAGGATTCTAAGAATATTGGTTACAAACTTGTCAAGTTAGTATTTTTTATATGATCACTTGTCATATATCTAGTTCTTATGGTTTCCAAAGAACTTGTAGCTGCCCTGTATATCGGGTCTAACTATTATTATCTCAAGCCTTCAGGTAAATAAGCTTTACCACCTGCCTACTTATATCATTTTCTTTACTAAATATAATGGGTGTTTCTTTTAGTAAAGTGATGACTGCATCTATGTTAGAAGTTTTTTTTAAAGCCCAAAGGTGGTTTTATTAATAAAATTTTAAAATATAATCAAATTTTAATATTTTGCTTTATTTTTGTTATACAAAAAGTGATCTGCATATAATTCTAAATTTTTATTGGTTTTACTATTCATTTTGTATAACTATACAGTCTACCCTCCCAAACCCGATCCTGTCAAAACCGATAACCTGTTATACCTGATAAAAAATTGTTCTACCATGTCTGTTCCATAATTCAAACCCGATAACCTGCCATTTCTGATAACCGATACTCAAATAATCAAATACCTATAAGATATTGGGTTTGTCAGGTAATATAAATCAATTTGATTGGCTCAGATCGAGCTTTGTGTGATCAAGTAGATATATAATAAATATAATCTAGCCAATTATATTATTTATAATCACGTGACCGGCAAGCCATTAGTATCTTAAATCTGATAACCTCTCAAAACTGATACAAAAGCTGTCCACCATGCCTATCGGATTTGAGAGGGTGTACTGTATATATATACACTAGTATACAATAGCAATTCTTTATTAAATAAATTATTTATAAAATTTTTTTACTTGTTATATTAATATAATAACTGTCAGAATAAATAAAAATATCTATAATAAAACTAAAAATTAAAAAATTTTAAATATTAAACATTTTCACTTAATACATTCACCTTTGATTATTTAGTCACTATAGTGTTAAACACCACTGGTATAATTTAATAATGCCAAAAAAATTTTTTAAAAAAATAAATCAAAATAAATCTAAAATTGCTTACAATTTAAAATACTATTTAAAGTTTGCTTCTGACGTTTTCATTTTCGTCGGCAATTTTAATCAACATTTTACCAGTATTCTCACCTTTAAATAGTCTTAATAATGCTTGGGGTGCATTTTCTAAACCTTCTACTATGTAATCTCTTCTCTTAAGCTTTCCTTGCTGCAACCATTTTGAAAGGTCAAATATTGCTTCTTGAAATCGATCTTGATAATCATAGCTATGCGTTCAGATAAATTAATAAATGTTTCTGCCTCATTACTTTTTAAACATACGTTACGTCGCATTACTTACACAATAAACCCTTCCATTCTACCTCTCTGAGCAATCAAAGCAACATAATTGCCAGGCCCTTTAGGACTTACTTCGTTATATTGGCTGATAGCTCCACACAATACTATTC